CTTTCTCTTGTCTAATTGCTATGGCTAATGTTTCCAGAACTATATTGAAGAGGAGTGGTGATAGTGGGCATCCTTGTCTTGTTCCTGATTTTAATGTGAAGGTTTTTGGGTTTTGGCCATTTAATGCGATGTTGGCTGTTGGTTTTTCATAGATAGCCTTTATTAAATTGAGATATAGATCATCTATTCCAATTTTTTGCAAGGTTTTTATCATAAATGGGTGTTGAATTTTGTCAAATGCTTCTTCTGCATCTATCGAGAGGATCATGTGGTTTTTGTCCTTGACTTTGTTAATATAATGTATTACATTTATTGATTTAGGTATGTTGAACTATCTTTGCATCCCTGGAATAAATCCAACTTGGTCAGGATGTATGATCTTCTTGATGATCCATGTATTCTGTTTGTTAGTATCCTATTAAGGATTTTTGCATCTATATTCATTAAGGAGATCAGCCTGTAGTTCTCTTTTTTAGTTATGTCTTTCCCTGGTTTGGGAATCAAAGTGATACTTACTTCCAGGAATGAATTTGGAAGTATAGCTTCCCTTTCAATTTCACTGAAAAGTGTGAAGAGTAATGGCAGTAGTTCTTCTCTAAATGTCTTGTAAAATTCAGCAGTGAACCCATCAGGACCTGGGCTTTTCTTTGTTGGTAAGTTTTTAATTACATTTTCAATTTCACTGATTGTGATTAGGGTGTTTAAAATGTTTTTATCTTCTTCATTCAACTTTGGTAATTCGTAAGTATCTAGAAATCTGTCCATTTCTTCTGTGTTTTCCATTTTATTAGAGTACAGGTTCTCAAAGTAGGTATTAATGATCCTTTGGATTTCTGTGGGATCTGTTGTGACTTGCCTTTTTCATTCCTGATTGCATGGATCTGAGCCTTTTCTTTCCTTTTTTTGATAAGGTTTGCTAAGGGTTTATCAATTTTATTTATTCTTTCAAAAAACCAACTGTTCGATTCATTTATTTTTTGTATTGTTTTCTTAGTTTCCATTGCATTGATTCCTGCTCTAATTTTTATAATTTCCTCTCTTGTTCGAGCTTTGGGTTTTCTTGCTCTTGTTTTTCTAGGAGTCTAAGTTTCATCATTAGGTTTTTCATTTGAGCTTGCTTTGTTTTCCTAGTGTGGGCATTCATTGCTATGAATTTTCCACGTAGAACCACTTTCATTGTGTCCCATAGATTCCTGTATGTTGTATTGGCATTTTCGTTTATTTGTAAAAATTGTCTGATTTTTTTCTTTAATTTCCTCTGTGATCCATTGATTGTTCAGGAGAGTGTTGTTCAATTTCCATGTGTTTGTGAAGTTCCTACGGTTTCTTATGCTATTGATCTCCAGCTTTATTGCACTGTGATCTGATAATATGCAGGGAATAACTTCAATTCTTTTGCATTTATTCAAACCTGTTCTGTAAGCTAGTATGTGATCTATCTTGGAGAATGACCCATGTGCAGCTAAAAAGAATGTATACTCTGATTTTGTGGGGTGGAACACTCTATAGACATCTAATAAGTCTATACATTGGAAAGCTTGGTTCGGTTCTACTATTTCATTGTTGATTTTTTGCCTAGATGATCTGTCTGTTTCTGATACTGGGGTATTTAGATCCCCCACTACAATTGTATTTGTGCTTATTTGGTTTTTCATGTTATTTAATATTTGTTTTATATTATTGTTATTTAATATTTGTTGGGGACATTTATATTTGGTGCATATATGTTTATGATTGTCATTTCTTCCTCTTGAATTGTTCCCTTTACAAGGATGTAGTGGCCTTCTTTGTCTCTCTTAATCAGTTTTGGTTTGAAATTTACTTTGTGAATAAGATTGCTACCCCTGCTTTTTTCTGGGCTCCTGTCACATGGAGAATTGTTTTCTATCTTTTCACTTTCAGTCTATGGGCTTCTTTTTGCACTAGGTGTGTTTCTTGCATACAACATATTGTTGAATTTTGCTTCTTAATCCATTCTGCCAAGCTATTTCTTTTGATTGGTGAATTGAGGCCATTGACATCAATAGTTATAACTGATATGTACTGACTTATTATTGTCATATTATTGTCCTTTTGTTGACTCTTTTTAATTTTTTGCCCTCTCCTTTTAGTTTCATGCCTTGGCTATTTGATTTGTTCTGTTAGGCATTGTGGTGTTGTGATCTTCATTGTCTTTTTCTAGGATATTGTTTAAAATTCCTTGTAGTGCTGGTTTGGTATTCATGAATTTTCTCAAGTGTTCTTTGTCATGGAAGTATCTTATTTCCCCATCCATTTTGAAAGAGAGTTTTGCAGGATACATCAGTCTAGGTTGGAGGTTGTTTTCTTTTAGGACTTGAAATACCTCACCACAGGCTCTCCTTGACCTGAGGGTTTGTGTTGAAAAGTCTGCTGTGATTCAGATGGACTTTCCTTTGCATGTGATTGTTTCTTTTCTCTTACTGATTGTAGTATTTTGTTCTTCTGTTGGGTTTCTGGGATCTTGATTATTATATGTCTAGGTGTAGTTTCTTTTATCATGGCTAGCTGGAGTCCTATATGCCTCACTTATCTGTACGTCAAATTCTTCCCATCTGTTTGGGAAGTTTTCTGTCATTAATTCTATGAACAGCTTTTTTTAATCTTTTTTAAGTGATCAATTTCTCATGATCCCTTACTGTTTTTAAGAGACCTCTCTTTTCACCGTCACTGTCTGTGAATCCTATCTTCTATATCTGAGATTCTATCTTTGCATTCTTTTATTCTGTTGCATACACTTTCAATAGTTTTTAATCTCCTGGATATCTGTTTGAATCTGTTTAATGGATTCCATTTCTTTCCTATGTTGGGCATTCATTGTTTCCATTTCTTTCTTATGCTGGGCCTTCATGGCTTCTATTATGTTCCTGAGCTCATCTATTTTTTTGTCAGTTTCTATTCTAGAGTCTTGAATCATGACTTTCATTTTGCTCACCATCTCTGTGGTTATCTAGGGAGTTATTTCTGTTTTGAATTTTTCTAGAGCCTGATTGATCTGTTTTGTTACTTCCTGTTTCCTGTGCTGTGAGTTCTGAGTGTCCTTGTGGCTCACTATCAGACTTTTCATCCTCCTTTGCCCTACTGTTTGCCATTGGTGGACTGGAAGTCTGTCTTTGTTTCTTGGTTAAGTGTTTTCTCATTTTTATTTTTGCTGTTTGGATTGTCCTTGATTCAATCTCTGGGTCATTAAATCTTCCTGATATCATTGCATCCCAGCCTTTGACTCTCTCATGACTCAGACATTCTCACTTTCACAATATCAGAGAAAACAACTCATCAAATCAATCCCTATCCTTTTTCCTAATCGTTACAATCAGCAACACAATAGGGTCCATCACCACCTGCAAATTGACCACTTGTGGTAGTCATTAATCCATCACCCCCAAGCCATGTGAATTAAATTAAAATCAAGAAGCAGCCCAAAATATGTTCACAATGAACAAACTCCTTAACATAACACATTTACCACTTAGGATGGGGGCCCAGACAGATTTAGGATGAGAAGAGTAAACAAGCAAAAGATCTGGAGGAGGTTTCAAATGAAGCCAGAGGACACAGAATGACCACACAATCCCCAGGAAACTGTCAAACTCAAAAGGGATAGACAGAGTGCAAGTATAAGGACCAGAATATAGCCCCTCAACAGCAATAGGGGCTCACTTTCCCTTGAACCTACTGACCCTTGAGTGAGGCACAGTGATAGAAAAAAGGAACATTAAGAAAAAAGAAAAAATGGTCAAAGAAGAAACCTGAGTCAGGGCAGGAGCAGGAAAAGAAAGAGAGATGAGGGACAATATGGTGGAACAAGAGACTGAGTTGGTGAAAGAGGACTTACAGAGAAAAAAGAACTTACAGAGTGGAATAAGGAAAAGAGAGAAAAAGACAAAAAAAAATGACTTTGAAGGGCCTCTTTGAGACTATATCTCTGCTGCCTTAATACACATCGTGTGCAGCCATGTGCAGAACTGAATCCCCCTATCTCAGCTAGCCGATGGCAGACCCCCACGATGCAGACTGGCCTCAGGCCACAAGGCCCAAACTGAGCTCCCCGATCTCCTGCAGAGTTGAACTCCACACAGTTCTACCCACTTCTTTAAAGATATTCAAATTTGGGAGCTCAGAAAATTACCCTTTATAACCAGCCATGCCTCTGCGGAGTGTGTCCAAAGACTGGCACAATCAGGAGAACTGAGATGGTGCAGTGCTCAGCAGCACCCATGCAGCTGCCCTCCTGTCACTGGAGCAGCAATGGTGGTTTCCACAGAGGAAGGCACAGCTACCCAGACCTGTAGACTGGGCCCCAGCTGGCAGAGGGAGATCTGAAGTCCAAGCCAGCCGCTTTCCCAAAACTCACCCTTGGGTCTTGTTTGTTTGACTTGGGCTGCCAGGTGGTGAACAAATCAGGATGGGAGCAAGAGAGAAAGCTGAAAGGCCAACCACAGGCTGTTGTTGCTACCTCATTGAGAGACGGTGGCAACCTGGATAGATATATGACAAATCAGACGTGAGAAGAAGAGATTTGCAAATGCCCTGTAGCTTTACATGAAAACGAATTTATGGAATATTGACCCCTTATGAGAAAAATATAGTGCACTGAGAAGATGGCAAAAAAAAATCACCCAGGAACCCACTTCCTGAAAGTAACCACTCCTTGTGGGTTAAATGGTTTTTCTCTCAGTAGCATTTTAGCTGAAAAACTTCCAGTGCATTTGTAGAGACAAATTTGATTTATAAAACTTTGGCTCGGACATTTTGCAGAACACATCTCCTAATATAGGTTGAGACCGCTTCAGTGAGAGTAGATATAATACAATTTTAACTGAATTGGATTCCTTCTGTGACTGGGCCAAAATAGTCTTGGTACCCTTTCTCCACAGGATACCCTCAAACCTGAGGTCTCCGTTCACCTGAGGCTGGATTCGAGTTCTCTGTTTGGTGGAGAAGTTTCTTTTTTTCAGCTCTCCCTCTTTTCTCTCCCCCAGAATCAGTGGATAACTGCCCCAGCAACTGCTATGGCAATGGTGACTGCATCTCGGGGACCTGCCACTGCTTCCTAGGGTTCCTGGGCCCTGACTGTGGCAGAGGTGAGCATACTCATGGGTTCTTGATCTCTTCTCCCCTCACCCTTCAGGCTTCACTTCTCAGAGTGAGTGCAGAGAACTGCAAGCCACCTTTGTGCCCAGAAGGGTTCCTGGGGCTCATTCTTCAGAAGCCCATCAGTGAAGTCTGTAGGTAAAGTCAGGAAGGGAGGGTTTCCTCAGAGCAGCCCAAGTGAATTTAGTGTCCTTTGCTGGAGCAGGCAAAGTGGTATGGGGTCCTTTTGAAAAGCTGCTTTTCCCTTTAATGAGAGTGATCAGACTTGACAAACACCTTTGAAGCTTCTCTTCACACACATGTGATTTCTTTCTGGTCCATGGACAGAAGTCCAAGGGGGCCTGACTGCCTTCTAGCAGCACAGGTAGCACCTTACCTCAGCCACCAGGGAACGACTAGGGAGGGCAGGCTGCCCCTCTCACACATGACCCTAATGCTGCCTAATGCTTTGGCCCATTTGATAACCACTACTGAGATAGCTTATAAGGCCGTCCACCTGCTACTCTGTGCTTCTGGCCTTCATTTCTATCCTGGAAGAATGAACAGGGAAACTGCCAAAAGAGATTGCTAGTTCCGCGAGTATGGTCCTGCCCTTGGGAAACAAAAATGGGCCCTTTTTTTTGCTTTTCCATCATTTTATTCATTCAGAAGCCATTTGCCTCATGCCCACTTAAAGCTCAATTCTTTACTGGGCCTGGGGTTATGACACTGAGCAAGACCCAGGCCTGGGCATCCTCAGCATGTTCTGGGACGGATGAGCAAATAGGTAGCTGCAAACCAGCACCATGATAAGTGCAGCACACAACAGCAAGGTCTAATGTGGCTGTTTTAGCTTAGAAAGGATAAGGATCAGGTCAGGACAGCTCCCAGATGAGGTGGATTGAGCCCAAGTGCTGAGGCCAGTGAAGTTGTCTGTGAGCAGGAGACAGAGATGGTTTTGCAGGCTGAGGGAACAGTTTCCTGCAAGCACTATGCCATGATGCTACTCTAGGGATTTTGCTTATTTTAGCTAATGTGAAATAGACTCTGTTGGAGGCAGCAGAGCTGGCAGCCCTAGGAAGCACAGTGATTACCTGCTGAGTGCTTGAAAAATGAAAGAAGCCAGGTGGGGGCCAGGGAGTGTGGTGCAGAGAGAGATGAGTCATTTCTCCTAACAAGAATTACTGTCTCATCCCATATGCACTTAAAGTTAAGAGTCATGTATAAAGCAGTCTTACTGTATCTCAGTAAGGCTGGCAAGTGCTTATGGCACAATGCAATATAATTTATTTTTATATAGTGTCCTTCCTAGAGCTGATCACAGAACCCCTTCCACTAAGAGGTAGAGTGGAAAGATAATATTTTAAAGAGCCTAGATGGACTCAGCTCTTCCCTTAAGGGGACAGTGGTATATAGAGGTGGAGTGAAGGCCTGAAAGACAAGGAAAGTTGGGACTTGCAGGGTTAAAGACAACGGTAAGAGTGTTGTAGATGAGGCTGGGGAAGTAATAATGGAGTGCTGTTTGGTACAAGATGCTGGAGGAGAGATTCGGGGCAGCAGGAGGCCTGGCCACTGTCTTTTCCTGTGAGAATCAGATGCAGACTGAGCCTTCCTGTCTCAGTTCATGGCAAGCACCGCACCACATCAGCAGTAGGAAGGGATGGGGGAAGGTGGTGTTGTGTTCTCTGCACTGCATGTCTCCACCTGCAGGTCCAGATGTATTTAAACTGCAGTGGAATAAAGCAGATGCAGATGATGAACACGCATGGGTGTGTTTGGCAAAACAGTGAAGGTCTTGGTCGGACCATGCAGGCCAGGGGAGGAAGGGAGAAAGGCAGGCAGGGATGCCAGGTGATGATTCTGATGCTGTCTCCACAGCCTCTTGCCCTGTGCTCTGCAGTGGGAATGGCCAGTATATGAAGGGCAGGTGCCTGTGCCACAGTGGCTGGAAGGGTGCCGAGTGTGACGTGCCCACCAACCAGTGCATCGACGTGGCCTGCAGCAACCATGGTACCTGTATCATGGGCACCTGCATCTGCAACCCCGGCTACAAGGGCGAGAGCTGTGAAGAAGGTGAGCTCAACTGTCACTGTCCCCCAAGATGGAGGCCAGCACCCAGTGCAGTGAGGGCAGTCAGGAAGCAGGGAAGCCTCTGACCATCTGCAGCCCCACTCCCATGACAGGAGCCCACCAACAACAGTGTAAACCTGAAGGAAAAGCACAGGAATGGGAATGTAGCTCAGTGGTAGAGCACTTGCTCAGCATGTGTGAGGCCCTGGGTTCAATCCCCAGTACCCTCCCAACACACACACATGCACATACATACACACACACACATACACACACACAAGTTCAAAGAAAGAAGACTGACACGTCAGGGTGCTGGTCCACACAGGTGATGAGGATTGTCATTGCACATGTGTCATATCCAGGGATCTGTGCTGGAGGCCTCATTATATCTGACTTGGGGAAACTGAGATCCAGAATGCAGAATGATTTGCTCAAGCCTGACTCAGCTGTTCTGGCTCCATCGTCCACATTCCTCCCCCTCCTTCCCCTTCAAGGGCATCTGATCATTTTCTGTCTCCATTTCTGAAGTTAGAGTCTGCTAGAGATCTCCACAGTCTGCCTTTCTTTGTTACACTGTGTATGTGTTTGCATGTGTGTGTGTTCCTGTGTGTGGCTCTCTTCTTCATAAAGTAATCACATGGCTAAGTACATCAAGGATGGAAAGTGACCTTCTGATTCAACTGTGACATCTGTTCTTTTATGGAAAATTTAACCACATGAGATATGTGAATATTTGGGTTTCACAAATGAAGAAACTGAGGCCCAGGAAAAGCCAATGGCATGCCCAGAGTCATAGAACTGACTGGTGGCAGGGCTAAGATTCAGCCCAGATCTTCTCCCTGTCATTCCAGTGTTCTACCTCAGTTTAATGGGTTTCAAGACAAGAGGAGAAACTTCACCCACAGGCATATGGAGTAACTTTTAGGAGTATACTTTCTGGGCCAGGCATGGTGACACATGTTTGTAATCCCAGATGCTCAGAAGGCTGAGGCAGGAGGGTCACAAATTTGAAGCCAGTCTGGGTAACTTAATAAGGCTCTGTCTCAAAATAAAATTTAATTAGAAAGGTGTGGGGCTGTATTTCAGTATCAGAATGCTTACCTAGCATTGGTGAGCCCCTGAGTTCAATCCCCACTACAAAAAAAAGTGCACATTCTAGAATCAGATACACATTTACATCATAGCTCTGCCACTCACTAGCCTCAGTTCCCTCCCCTCTAAATGAAAATACCTTCCTCAGAGGGCCATCGTGAGGATCGAATTAAATGACCCATGTAAAACATGTACCTCAGGGTCTGACACACAGTAAACGCTCCATAAATGTGGCTCTTATATTATTAGTATTGTTCTGGGCACAATTGAAGCACTTTTCCATTTCACTCCACGTATTTCATCCAAGGTCTTTGGAAATGGATGGACTCTGTGGTTTGAAGCTGATGGACGACATGTGCATTTGTTACTTCCTGTTCTCCTCCCTCTGTGCCCTGGCCCCTCCCCAAGTGGACAGAAGAGGCTCCAAGGAGACCTGGTCTTCTAAGCCTATTTGGTATTTAACACAGAGCCTCTGTGTAAGGCTTCATTTTCTCTTAAAAGAGAAAGTGTTAACAGGCCACTTTCTAAGAGTGGAGAATGAGAAGGGATTAGTGTCTGAAAAGCATGGCCTCTCTGGGATAGGCTGGACCTCTTGGCTTTGATGGGGATCACTGTGGGCCGTCCAGAGGCAAGGAGCTCCAGCCTTTGGACAAAGAAACTTGGCTTTCTTATCCAGAGTATAGAGACCTTCATCTGCTTTCCCTTTCATATTGGTCACTCGAGGTCAAGACCCTGAGAAAGAAAGGAAAACAAAAAGCAAATTCCTGTTGGAACAGTGGGCGGCTGTCTGTCAGTGTGGGCCGGGGAGGGGAAGGTGTCTGTCCCGAGAGACAAACCAGCACTGGACAATGCCCCAGAACTGCAGGATTATTTACAAAGAGAAAAAATGTTGTTTAGAAGTCTGATTTACATTATCTATTTGAAAAGAAATGTTTTCACTCCTGCTCTCTTCTGAGGAGGGCCATCTGGGACTGATTCCTTTTATTATTTTTCTTTCTCTAGTGAGGCGTCCTTGCATGGTCCTGTGTTTATAATATGGTTTTCTTGGGGCCTTCCTCCCTCGCCTCCCTCCTCTTTCCCCTCCTCCTTTGGCTTGGTAACCGGTTTCACTGTGTTTATAAAACATCAGCTAACAAGCTTACTTTTTTCTCTTTCTCTTCCTTCTTCTGAAGTTTATTGCCCGTATTTTTTAAGGCTTGAACTGAGCCAGCAGGCCTCATGAAGGAGGTTGGGGTGGGGGAACTTAGACCCTTTACCCGGAAAAGTGAGACACTGTGTGCTTGGTCCTGCAGGGTGTCTAATAGCTTGTGTGGTCACTGAAGCATGGGACCTTTTCCGGGAAAGGGTTGTGTTTGCAGCCTGGTCATGCAGGCCTCATCATTTCATTAATGGGCTCAGCTTCGGCCAAGAATCTTGGCTCGCATGGCAAGCTTGGCAGAGGAAAAATATGTAACTGTTTGACACATCTTCTAAAAGGAAACTGAGTAAGACCTTCTTCTAAACCAAGTTAGGCAACCTCCCTGACAATTTCTACCCTCTCGTGGATCCCGCATGTCCCACCCTAGGCCTGCCAGCTTGCTGATTTCCACATGGCTCCCAGGAAATAGCTGGAGTTCCTGAGGCTGCCCCAGTGGGATGTGAGAAAGGAAAGCACCTCTAATCCCATCCCAGGGTTCCTCCTGCCCCAGAGAACCACTGGCACAGAGAATGGCCCCAGTGTTAGGTTCAGTGGAGTGCATGGACAGTCATCCAGGGGAAACGTCAGCCAGTCCAGCCAAGGGTTATTGGAGCTGCTGTCTGTTCCACATTTGCTTCACCCACAGAAGGCAAGATGAATTGTTTGGAGGTCAGCTCACATTGGATCCTCCTGATCTTTGTTCTGTGTATGAACGATCTGCTAAAAGCATCGGAATCCTGAACAGGACCCTGACACCAAGGGCCTTTTGCTAAACTTGGCACCCTGCAGCTTGCCTGCTTCAGTGCAGATTTATAGGTTTGACCTCAAGGATGCCCTGGGCTTTTCAGAGACCACTACAACTGCAAACTGAAGTCCAGGCTGTCCCCAGATGGGAAATACCTTTATCAGCCCCAGGGTAGGAATTGCTGAGTTGTTTCCTGTCAGATTGGAAAGCCCTCTGGATCTAGGGAATTATCATAGTAGCCTAATGGGCCGGAATAATCCTTCTGAGGGCTTGAGATCTGAGGCAGGTCATGAGAATTTATCACTATTGTTGTTTTTATTATTTTAATTACCAGGAACTCCGACAGGTCGTGCCTTAACCATTACTTAATGGTATCCAGAGACTGCAGGAGAGGGGTCTCTGCCTTCATTTGGCTTTTTTAATTCTCCACATTGCCTTGTTTCTTCCTGCGCTTTGTTTTGATTTCTATTTTTCAGGCACTTTGTGTGATCATGTAGGTATATATTTATGCATGTATTTTTGAACCAGTAAGATTATAAGAGAAAATAGCAAGAGACCTAGACCAAGAAAGAGTAATTTAAATATAAATTTCTCCACTGTACAGTTGTGTTATCATGAGCAAATTATTTAACCTTGCTGTGCTTCCTTTTCCTCATCGGTAAAATGAGGGTAATAATAGCAGTTATTTTATGTATGATGTTGTTAGTATTAAATGAGATAATGTATATAAAATGTTTAATAGCAAAATGTAGCCCAGGGGAGTGACTGAATTAATGGCAACTGTTGCAGTTCTTACTGTTTTTACCAAATACTTGCTCCTAACCTGACGCCTAATCTTATTTATCATTTAGGTTGTTAAGTTGAACTCCTTTAAAAACCTGAATAGTAAAAGAGCTTTCTTAATAAACTGGTCCTCGAAATAAATGTCCCCCAGATGTTGCCATTTACAAAGTCTCTGCCTATTTGTGTCAGTGATTGTTACATACCAAGGCCAAGTTTCTCAGATTTTTGTGCAAAAGTCACATCTACTCCATGCTAAAATATAATTAATAAATTAAAATGATGTCTGAGTTATGAAGGACCTCTGTCCACAGTTGGCCAAATCATGCTGCTGTGCAGATGGAAAAGTAACCTCCTTTCAAATCCACTATGTCCTTTGTTCTCATACCTGTTTTATAGGTGGGAAGCTCAGAGCAGGCATGCAATATAATTTGACCGGGAACCTAGAACAAGTACATTATGTTTCCTAACCCTGGAATCTCAGTCCTCAGGGCTGAGATGCTAAGTTCTTTCCTCTGCAATATAGGGCTTCCTCATGAGCTCCTCTAAAAGGATCCTCACTGAGTGTTGGCAACACTGTTTCTCCAACAGCTACATGTTGGGCCCCCACAAAGACATCATGTCCCCTCTCAAGTTCAAAATGAGTGGAATCCCCTTCCTTCCTAGAGTGGAAGACAAACCTAAAAGCTTTCTGGTGGAGTGAGAGCAAAGGTTCAATCTCCTTTGCCAGTTCTGTCTACTCTCTCTGCTCTCTTTCATCAAAATGAGTGGAATCCCCTTCCTTCCTAGAGTGGAAGACAAACCTAAAAGCTTTCTGGTGGAGCGAGAGCAAAGATCCAATCTCCTTTGCTGGTTCTGTCTACTCTCTGCTCTCTTTCGCACTTTTTGTATGAACTGGAAATTAATTAACAGAAGTTAATTCTCAGTGGTCTTTTGCATATTATTCAGTGAATTTCAGCCCTGATTCTGTCACTGGCTTCAGAATTAGACAGATTTGTGTGCAAATTCCTTTCTGGATGCGGAGAACTGGAACCCTCATACACTACTGGTAGAAACGTTAAAATAGTAGAGCTTCTGTAGAAAACATTTTATTATTTCCTCAAAAAGTTAAAAATAGAATTACCATATGTCCAGTGTTTTTTCTGGGCATATACTGAAATTAATTGAAACGAAAATTTTGAACAATATTTGCACCCCCGTGCTCATGGTAGCATTATTCACAGTAGCCAAAAGGTGAAACAATCCACATGACCATGTGACAGCCATTACACAGCATGTGCAGACAATGGAACACTATTCAGCCTTTAAAAGTAAGGAAATTCCAGCACATGCTGTAACAATGGGAATCCTCGAGAATATTGTGCTAAATGAAATAAGCCAGTCACAAAAAGGCAAATACTTCATGATTCGACTTATATGAAGTACTTGGAGTAGTCAGGTTCATACAGACCCTTTCCTCTGGCCCTGCAGGTGCTACTTGACTGAGAGCCACAGCCTCTTAGTTTCCCTACAGAAGGAGAAACCATGCAGTTAGGACATGTAAAGTTCAGTGGTCAATGAAATGTTTGCCCACACAAAAGTGATATTTGGAAGTTCATATCAATCATAAGAATTTGGAGATAATGAAATCTAATGAGATTTAATTGTGAAATAAATTTGTGTTTAAATTAAGGAATCTATTTTAGTCTCTTGTTCGTATAAATAAAATCTCATTATGAAGTAATAAACAACAAAAGTTGGTTCTATGAAGATTTATTGAGACCCTCTTACATGTTGGGCTGTGGTCTAAGTGGTCGGGGACAGAAATGAACAAACCAAGTCTTGTGCTCTATTATGCATATGGCGGGTCACAGGTGCTCTGCTGATGCTGGATACACATCTGTATTTGTCCATCTCTCAAGCCAAGAAGTAGGAATTTATTTCCACAATTTATATGTGAGGCGACAGAGCCTCAGAGAGGTAAACATCCAGGTCTGCCATTGGCTAAAGCACTGCTCATTACCACATCCAGTGGCCTCTCCACTGGTAGTCAACATCATTCTCATAGAATGTTGGCTTATAGAAGCCTTGTATTGCTGGCCAGATGCTAACCTGTGTTCTGTTTTCTCTTTGTCGCAGTGGACTGTATGGACCCCACGTGTTCAGGCCGGGGTGTTTGTGTGAGAGGCGAGTGCCACTGCTCTGTAGGATGGGGAGGCACCAACTGTGAGACACCCAGAGCCACATGCTTGGACCAGTGTTCAGGTCACGGAACCTTTCTCCCAGACACCGGGCTTTGCAGCTGTGACCCAAGCTGGACTGGGCATGACTGTTCTATTGGTAAATGAGGGGAGAAAAGGGGCACTGGGTGGGTGGAGAAAAGAGGCTTCTACCGTAATGTTACCCACTGGGTCACAGTGGCACAACCCTGCTCTCAGTAGCCTACCAATGGATCCCTCGCGTCTCCAAGTGCTTTTCTTCTTCCCCTGGATGCTAGCCTTCTGTGCCTTTCTTCTGGAATGGGCAGAGAGCTCAAAAATTACATCTTCATTTTGTTCCTTCCATAATGGTAGCTTTGAATTCACAAAAGTGCCCCTCGTCAACATTAATAATGGCAATAGGAGTGTTTCACTGAACTCTGTCACAGTACAATGGTTATCCCTGGGGGAAGAGTAACAGGCAAAGTCCCTAGCTAAGAGCTGCAGGGATAAGGGTTGATGGTAGATTCGTATCCCAGGTGCTGTACTCTTTGATTTCATCCATTTCTAGAAAGCAGTCTAAACTCAGTGTCATTTTTAAGGTTCTCTGTGATCTGGCCCCATCTGCCTCTCTGGCCAGATGTTCTTCTAGATCATAGGATCCATGAAGGTAGGAAACATGTCTATGCATGGTTGTGGCCACAGGACTCAGCAGAGGCCTGGCCATCACAGCTGCTTGATAAATATTGATGAATGAATGAACACACGATTGAGTGTCTTCTTGATCCTGCTGTCTGGTTCTCCATAGAAACTATATGTATAAAGTTCAAAGAACGCTACTGTTGGCATCCTTCTATTTGCAACCACATTGTTTCATCAACCCTCCTGAAGATTAAATAAGAACATGTATGATTCACCTGCCACAGAATTGGTATATAGTTTATGTTCACATTTAATATCTCATTTAATCTACACAAATCCCTGTGAGAAAGGAATTCTTGTCATTCCCATTTCACCAATTTATATAACATTTCAACTAATGAATGCTTATTGAGCACCTACAAGGTGTATTGGGCACTCTTCCAATCAGAGAGCAGAAAATCCCTGCCTTTGTACAGCATGCTTTCTGGGAAAGGAAGAGGGATGACCACAAAGAAGAAAAATGAAAACAAACAAACTTGATAAAGACACTCAGGCTCTAAGAATTTTTAAAAAACCCATCACTAGAAAATGAAAGAATCTCCAACTCCACTTTTTTATTCTAAATCAGTGTCCTCAGCACCCCATGTAGTTACAACAAAGTGAAGCTTAAATTAGCTTGTTGTGCAGTATATTAACAGTTCTGGTTGTATTCAGGAAAGATGGTGGAGATCTTTGGGAAAAAAAAAATGAGATCTGTGCAGCATTCCCATGGTTGGAATGCTTTATGACTTTTCCCCATTGAATGGAGGAATTGCGTAGGCTAAATTGGACTTTTATCCTTGTTTGCAAAGCTCATGTGAAGACATGATTGTGAGCGCAGATGTGCAGAGTCTCAGGAATAATTCTTTTATATAGCTCTGTTTATAGCAATATAATAAATGGTCCTCTTAAAGCTGCGCTGGCTTGTATTGTTCATTATGTGGCCACAAAGCTAATTTATGATAGGTCTGTAACTGTGCCTTGCACTGTTAATCCCTGATGAAATTCCACAGCCTTGGTGGAGGCCAGTGTAACTTTGGGTGAGATTTCTAAGTATTCTCTAGGGTTTCCTGTAACAAGGAGATGGCAGAATGTTTAGAAGGGACTTAGAATAAGTTTGTTGATCTCATCTTGCTCTGCCCTGCATCTACCACTCCCGTAACTGACATAAAAAATGTATGTGAACACATATGGGAAAACAAGAGAACCTTGTTCTGGAAAGAAGTCCTGAGTCAGACAAACTCTGGCTCAAAACCTGCCCTGCTACTTACTGGTTATAATTTTGGGCAAGTTACTTTGCCTATTTATACAGGGGGGGGAGGGAGAGAGAGAGAGAGAGAGAGAGAGAGAGAGAGAGAGAGAGGGAGAGAGAGAGGAGAGAGAGAGGGGGAACAATAGCACCTGCCTCCTGGGGTTATTGTAAGAATTATTCAAGACTGCAAAAGAGCTTACATGTTACTTGGCTCATAAAATAGGCTCAGTAAATGTTACCTATTGTTAGGGTATTTGATTACAACAGCAATTTGTGAAAATGTTTGATATTAATAAAGACTTTCAATAGTAAGAGACGAGATGAGGTGTGCCCTTTCAGAAATATGGATCGTGGTCTTTAAATATCTAGCCTGTAACTGATTAAATGGTGCCACAGCTGCCATAAAGCCAGGGATTTAAGACAGCTTCAAAGCCCCCCTTCACAATATTAATAGTAAAATATGTTTGTTGAGGCCCTATAGCATACTGAGAGATATGTTCATAGAGAAATACACATCCCACTACCATGGTCTGTGAGGTAAGGAAGGCACACGTGGTATCATAGCATTCTGGCGATGAGGCCTGGGATTGCTATGACTTGCCTAAGTCAAGCTGGCAAGTGAGGAAGTGGGGTCAGACCCCAGCCCAGAGTTCCAGGTCTAACCTGCTTTACATCACCTGTAGCTGCCTCCCTACGGGCCATTGTCTCTCCTTACCTGTCACTTCCCCTCTGGAAACCACTAGTTAGAAAATGAAAGTGTTTTGGTGTTCTCTCTCCTCTCCACCTGTCTGTGTAGGGATTACCTGCCTCGGTGCAACCCTAGTTCTGCCACATGCTGTCTGTGTGACAGTGGCAGGAAACTTTAACTTTCCTTGACATCAGTTTCCTTATCTGAAAAATGGAGGTGATAGTGCCTATCTCAGCAGGTTTTATGATTGTTAAATTACAGCAGTTTTGTGAAGTGTCTGTCATGGAACCGTGACAGACAGAACAATGTCTGTCACAGAATAAGCGTTTGATATCTTTCTGCCACCTCCCTTCTGAGGGCACGTTCACGTTCACTGAGTAGAAGCTGTTTTGGGAAGATTGAGTTTTTCCCATGAAGCCAAGCATGACCTTACTGTCCAGATTGTGGGAGTTGGGGACAGGGAAGTGGTACGGGCTCTGGGGTCTATTTCAGAAGGCTTGTGCCCCTCTACTTGAATGGTGTCACAAGTGGCTTCACATGTAACTTCTCCTCTCCAACCCTCAGTGTCCCCCTAGGTGAAGTGCCATGGGGAATCCTGAGGATTAGGTGAGAGAAGATGGGTAAATGGCTATCTCAGCATCTGGCACAGACAGCTCGGACCTGGGACAAGCGGGAACTCCATCCCTGTTAGTCATGCTCTTTGCTTCTTGGCACACAAGGCTGGCACAGGCATTGCCCAGATCCTTCTACAGCAGCTGCAGCCAGCAGACACATCCTAAGTGGTCGTTGCACTGTCAGCCTTGACAGTGGGCTGGCAGGTTGGCAGAGATGGGCCCGGCCATCTGCCGCCTCCTAGAAAGGAGGACTGTCTCTTCCCTGAGATGCGTGTCTTCTTGATGTTCAACACCAAGAGTAGGATTTAATGAAAGCAGCTTAAATCAACATGCCCTGCACTCGGCAACGAGCCCTGTAATGAAATGTGAGCTGACAGGTTGCTCTGCACTTTGGTGAGGTGTATGGAAACAGTGAAGTCAGATTTTATACAAGTGTTTACTCAGGTCCTTGGTTCCCAGCAGCTTGGCTCCCAGTCTTATCTCAGAATCTCCTCCTGGAAGTCAGCCCCATCCAAGTGGTCCTTCTTCCTGATAAGACACCCAAGATAAGGGAACACATTCCCATTCTAGTCGCCTCACCCCCGGCACACTTCAGTCCTCAGCTCTGGGCCTAGTGGAGTACCACTTCCTAAGTCATTTGAGGTGATGGTAGTGGTGGTAGTAGCCGTAGCACTAATGATGAATGAAGGGAAGTGGCAATTGCTACAGCTGTTGTTACAAAAGAAGAAAGAATTAGAAAAGGGAAATGAGTTGCCCAAAGTAACTAGCTCACCGGCAGCAGACTTTGACTTAACTCCAAGCTGTCTCTTTCCAAGTCCCCAATATGGGCTTTCAGGGTACATTCCCAATAACCTAAGCTCTTCTACTAGGGCCTGCCTCTAAATGGTCCACCACCTCCTTATAGCCTTAATCATGTGACTTTTGAGGAAGCTTCAAGATCTAATCCATAACCCTATGCACTGTGATAACTAAGCAATATATTCCACTTATATCTCTCGCCCCCCACACAATTCCTAGCACAGGGCCAAACATGCATCAGGACAGGTTCTTAGTGATTATTGCATGAATGACCTGCCAGTGAATGATCAAGGTAAGGACAAGAGAGCCCACTGGGAACACAGCAGGGAGGGCTGCAGCTGAAGCCTCTGCCCAAAAGACCCGGTGTACCACCAGACAGTTGCCCTCTCTCAGGATTCCCTTCCTCCTGCCCACTCAGTACTCTCTTTCCTTCCACTCCCCATACAGTCTGCAGAACTGAAAGCAAATCTCTGGAATCCTGCTCTGTAATGTTCCAGACTATATTTGTGTTGGTTTCATACACAGTGCCAGCCAGCCAGAGCGAGCCCTTCCTGGACAGATGCTGGTACTGTTTCATGTCCTTCAAGCCGACTTCCCCAAGGAGCAGAGCTGCTGTGTGGGATGCCTCAGCAGCTTTCGCGTAAAATGGGCATGCTCAGCATCTGAGCACGATGTCTCCCCCGACCCCAGCTGCTTTAGTTGGCTCAGAGCTGGAATTTAACCAGGGTCCTTGAAAACAAGAACACCTGCCTTTCTTTCAGAACCGCATGACTTCTAAAGAAGCGTTCAGCCTCTGCGGCATTTTCCAGGATCGCATCTCAAAGGCCAGCCCTTAAATTCACATCTACCCCTCTACCGGTTCCTTTCGGGGGGCTTTCCTCCCACCCTCTCCCCATAGCCTCTGAGCTCAGCCTCATCAATCCATTCCTCATTCCCACTGCTCTGAGCTCTCTCCAGACTTGTCTTCCATAAACTGACTTTTATTTGAGAGGAGCCTCTCTCTATGTTTTATTCCTTTGGGTTGCTGGCTCACAGAATCAGTACATGGCAGAGATCCTGCCTATAAAGTGCTCATGCTGGTGGTTTATGATTCTTATCATTTGATTGCA